TGCTTCTGTCACACCTGCAAACTTTCCCCTCCCCTCTGCTTCCTTCTCATGTCGCAGTCCTCCCCTCCTCTTCCTCTGTTCTCTTTCTCCATGTAGGTGAGTTAACTGGGGCTGCTGGCACCACTGGGAGAGAGAGAGAGAGAGAGGGAGAAGACTTTCCCTCTTCTTCCCTCTATTCCTACTCAGACATGCACCTTGTTACGCAAACCCACTGCCAAGTGCACATAAGGTTTATGTTTTGAGTAAGGCTCACAAGAGAAAAAAAAATCATATTAAACTCAAAATCCCAAATGCTTTAATCTAAAGAAAAGCTTAGAGAACAGCTAAACCTGCTAAGATACTACAACATTTCAGTTGTAAGCATTTAGTCAACAAAATCCTTTTGAATAATTAAAAAGTCTGGAAAGGCAAAAAATAAAAAAATCTGAGCTTTTTCCTCATCAGTAAGCACACAATCCCTGAGGGTAAACAGGTCCCACTAACATTTTTGGTCCATGATGACTTAGCATTTGCTTTAAAATAACAATGAAAGCTGGTTTCACAAAAACTGCTCTCCCCCTCGATGTCAGCCCTACTATTAATCCCAATAAGAGTTTCCTTCAGCGTTTTCTGATCCGCGTTTTGAAGTATCTTTATCAGTAACATTAAAACTATCCAAGATTACTGATCTGTGGTCAGTGCTAGATTGCAACCTCTACTTCCTGTTTATTACTTTCACAAGTGACGACGTAATGTTGATGATGATGTGTGATAACATTACACTTTGCAGGGCGTGGTTAAGTAATTAAATTCAATTAATTTATCAAATGGAAACACCACAAATTCACATTTCTTTTTAACTTTAAAAGTTTGCTTAAATTCAGATTTGAATTAGATGGATAAATGGCTCGAGGACTCATCACAGAAGGAAACCTAACAAGAAATATTTAACACAAATCAGCTGATTCCATGCTTTGCAAAAACAATAATGAGGCCTGGTTCAGATCAAGGCGCGTATGGGTGGACATCACTTTCAGGTGAAGTGACGGCAAAACCTACATTTAAAACCTGGTCCTAAACTGGAGAAGTTTGAATCTGTCTTCAGCTATGTTTCCATCTTGATACCGCCATCTAGTTAACTGGTTCCATAATGGCGTGCTTGTGCATGTTAGCCATTGTAGACCTCGTCATCTTGTACACGCACTGACAAAAATCAACAATGGCCGACTTAAGGTTTCAAAATTTTGTTAATTTTGCTCCTCCGATGATGCAAACAAATATTTTGCTCTCCCGCTTTTGTTGTTCGCAATCTTCTTCCTTATATACTTCTCCGACAGCGCCACTCACTTGCTTGGAAGAGTTATTACAATGCCTATCAAGGCTCCTTTGGCTTCACATGGCTTCATCAGTACAATCAATCTTTTCTGTGACGTTGGTGCATCTCATGCCCTGAGACAGACTGGTGACCTGTCCAGGGTGTACTCTGCCATAGACCGGCACCGGTGAGCGATGGATGGTAGATGGATGGAGCATCTTGACCAACATAACGTTAACATATCTACAAACTAAAGTAGTTCCAAGTGGTGGCTTAACATTGAAAATTTATTTAAGCTAATATAGCATTTTGTATTGGTAAAATAAGGTATTAACTACAGCAATGGCATCGATTTTTCAACTATATTATAAAAACATAGAACTATATCTTTACTTCAATAAATGATTTCTAAAACCAAATTATTAAGACTTTTTTGTCTCACAGTTAGCCACTTGTATATTTTTTGCTAACATTAACAAAGGTTTCCATTAGAGATGTCCGATATTATCGGCCGATATAAGCATAATTATGTGATATCTGTCGGGTTTCCCCCCCGATAATTAAAAGCCGATAATATAATGCCTAGATTTTGCGAAATATGTTGAAGCGAGCGCTCTTGCCAACACACGATGCTCCCTGATAACGTCATTAAACTGTGTAGCAGCAGCGAAGCTAAACTGTTTGTAATGAAAAATGTCTGCGGTGTGGAACTTTTTTAAAGTTTCAAATGATGACTTGAAGTTTGCGATTTGCAACAAATGTGAGGTCCTTGTCATGCGTGTGGGAACCAAGACTTTGTCCTTCAACAGCGATCCTACACTGGACTTCATTTGTGTTGACATTCAATTCTGTGCAATACAGCTGCACTGGTGAGGTACACTTTTTTCCTATTTGTGAAGAAAAGAGATTTATCTCTTGTTTGAATATTAATTGTCAAGTTAATCTCAGGACGAGCATATTCCAAAATGTTGTTTGAGAAAGTGTTGAAAATAAATGTCAAATTTTGCATTTTCCTGAAGTTGAAATGCTGTTTTTATCCTCTACAATAGTAATTATTTGTGGAATATACAGTGTGGAGTGGGGCATCACAGTAAATGTAGGTTATGCCTAAATTTTTGTGACTGGCAAGACGTGAAATTAGTTTATATCAGTATCGGCTTATATCGGAATCGAAAATTCAGCATTTGGAATATCAACATATCGAACATCGGCAAAAAAGGCAATATCGAGCTTCCCTAGTTTCCATGTTTTTTCCTCCGAAAATGTATAAAGTGCATTTTGCATTTTGCTTTTGTTATTGTTGTTAGTCCAGGGAAAGGCTCTGTGTGTTGCTAAAGCTAAATAGTAGTACTAAGGCATTACAGACACTAAAGTGGATCATTTTCTTAAGATATATTTCTGGATTACAATTCTCATCAACAAAGAAACAATTTTTTTTTTTTTGTGAACAAAATAATCCCAATCTCTACAGCTTGGCACCATGCAATCAAAAAACTCCAAATCCGATGATTTGTAACCAGTAAATAATTTACGACTCAGCAGAAGTAGCCTAATCCAACGTAAACATCTTTCTGTGTGGAAGTGGTCACTAAGGGAGGGAGACACATGGTTAACCAATTTGCAGTATTGGTAAATGATTTAAATATGAACTAAGAGGAAACATAAAAAATGCCAGAATCTTCTCTAAAAACCTGTTTCCTACAGGGCTTTGTTATTCGACTTACAACTCTGGAATTTGAAAATACTGTCTTTTCCAGTTCTAGCCTTTTATTCAATAGAAAATCTCCTCGTTTAAGGTGATGGTCTCCATTTTCTTACCAATATAGTGATTAATGTGTACAGTTTGTAATACTAACAATGCTATTGTGAGGATGTTTAAAAAACAAAGTATAAAACTTTTTTTTTTACACTCGCTGTTCTCTCTCCTAGAACACCATGTATCAGGAATCTTTATGAAATCTTATCTATATCAAACCATAACCATATTTTGCAGACTTCCAGCTTTAAAGGCACAAATTATTTACAAAGAAATATTAAAGACACATGAGCTAATTCGACCTGACTCAATGATTGTTAAACATACAGTTTCTATCTGAACCTCTATAAAGAGACATTAATTCGTAATTATTATAAGAACTTCTTATTTACATTATTATTAACTGTAAAAAAAAATACTAATTGCATTCATTCTGGTTTAAAAATTGTGCCCAGCTGCTTGTCTTTATACGAAAAAGTAGTTTTAGCTTTAACTTTGTTTCTGCAAATATGGCAGTTTTTTATTTTTTTGTTTTGTTTTTTAATAATACATTTTATAATAGAGCCTTCCCATAATTTATTTTGGCTGCTATAAATAACTGCAGTCGTGCCTAGCGGTCTTACATAACGATTAGAGCTCTGGCAGTGTCTTCAAACATGGAGCAGTTTGGATTGGAGACATTTTTTCATTTTTTTAAGTAAAAGAAGAATATTCAGAGATTTTTGTCTTACTTTGGCATAAATTAGCTCCCATGTTGGATCTCCTTTGCTTTAGTCACATTTAGGATTACGCGTCTAAATCCTGTTAAAGATTGTTTTCCTGATTTCTTTTAGAGGAGTACCTCTCGGTTCTCCTCTGTCAAACTTTACATTAAAAACATAAATCGAATTCATGTCTAGAGCTGAAGGATAGATTTCAGCTTTCCATCTACTGATGGGTCTGTTCTCCCTTCACACACAAAGCTCCCACGACTCTCCAGGCTCTTCCTTTCAGGAGGCTTTGATCGCATCATTCTCACACTCCTGTTGACAGTTTAGCACCTCGGTGTTGTGGAAACCTCCGCTGGCCGGCATTGTTCTCTCCCCTCCCTCCCTGGCCAGTTCACACCTCCAAGCCTCAAGAGAAAGCCCTTCCTGACTTCTTACCATCCCGGTAAGAAATTGCACAACACAAACAAACAAGAACTTTATGAGTAGCCTTGAAAAATCATTTACAAGGAAATGATTCAAAGCTTCATCATTTTCCAAAGAAATAAAATCCATCTAATTGACTCCCAGGCATCCACCGCATCCACTTAGCTGTACTGGAAAAGAAGAAATACTTGCACTGCGGCACATAAAAGCGCATGAGTGAAGACCTAAGACAGATAAAGAGCCGATAAAGCAGCCAGAGGTTGCTGAGCATCGCAGAGCGAGGGATGAGGGGATTACAGATGGAGGCTGAGAGGATGAGTGGATGAACGCAGGATGATCTAAGGATTAACCACGTAAACTGAGCAGCCTAATAACACATTCAGCCAGCTAATACAAATGCAAGCAAACAGATTGTTTGCTTAAACACAGACGAGTCCCCATAAAACATCATGTGATACTGACGTTTTTTTTTTTGTTTTTTTTTTGTGGAATTATAATTTATAGATATTTCTCCCTTATTTGTGGAGATACAGCAACAATCTGCCTGCCTTTAGAGGCCTAAGGATGAAATAAACGAGTCCGACAAGCTTAAAAGATGATTACTATCATCGAGGACAGGGAGGAAAGTAGGTGGAGGATAGGAATAGATGAGTGATGGTTGTGGAGGCACTTCTTCCTCTACACAACCATTAAAGTGAAATCTACACCCCCACCTTGTGGCTTAGAGAACAACACCGAGCTGTATTAGTGCTGTACTGCAGCAATGAGGCTTATTATGCAACAGATGTAAAGCTAACACTTTCACAGGTGCTCTTACCTGACCGTGAGACGGATATCCATGATAGCCCAGGGTCAAAGGATCGTTGTTCTGAAAGAGAGAAGCAGATTTTTATTTTTTATTTTTTTTAAGTCAACTTCATGTGTAATTTCAAAGGCAAACACTCTGTGTTTTCATCTGTTTCTGTTTTGTTTCTTTATCAGACTTTACAGTTAGATGACATTTCTGTGACCCCCACACATACAAATCAAATTAACTTCACTGGTGACACACTCCTGCAATCTCCCCAGTCAGCCTCCTCTCCAGCTTTCCACCCGATGGATCCTTTTGTCTGCTTGTGAAGACGTGATAACGGGGGCGAGGGAGCTCATGCGAGAGGCGGATAAAAGACAGGAAAAGAAAAGAACGAGTGTTGGCGCGGCTCTTAAATTCATAAATAGGTCAGGAGTGTCGGCGAGCATGAAGCCCACTGGCGTGGAATGCCATCATAAACCCTTATGCAACCTCTGACAAGTTTCTTTAAGTGTTCTGGCTGCGAGGAGCAAAGCCTGCTGCACCAAACGTCTGGAGGAAGACCCAGGGAAAGTCAATCCGGGCCAGTTCTCCCCTACGCCATCATGCACTCCTACTTTGTATCTATGTGTTAAAATTTTATCCAACTCTACATCAAATTTTGGACGTCTAAATATATTTAAGTGGATTAATAAAGTCAAATAGTGGAAAATATAGCATTGGTAAATAACACTGTTTTAAAATTATATCTGACAAGCGTTGAGGGTTATGTACGTTAAGCAGCTGCTGCAAGACTCTCCTGAGCAGATTGTCTGATTAATTAACAAGATTAAACACATTTCACATAGCTATATTTATAGTGCCATTTAAAACAACCACAGCTGTAAATACCAGTGAAATAAAATTGTATAATAAAACTGTTTAAAATATGAAACAAGTAAATTAAATAAAACCAGAGAAAAACATAAAGAGTCTGATACTGTGTTGAAAGTAAAATGATAAAACTGCTTTAAAATTTGATTTAAACTGCTATTAGATAAATAACAAAATGCTGTAGTAAAAAAAAAAATTAATTAAATAAAAATAAGAGTTAAAACTTTATAATAAGCTTAGTTATGAATCGTCTACATTATTCAGGTAGCATTAGAATACCTCCGTAAAGAAAAAGCAACCAGATCATTTCAGGTAAAAGTTCTAGATGTATTTTAGGGGTCAGCTTTAGAAAACCATTACTGAGGGCTGCTCATTCTGAGTCGGGTCCGACTGGAGGGGGGATGTTTATTTCCACTATCGCTGCATGCTTGTTCCTGCTATTCAGTAATGTCTAAAGTACCCACATTTGTTACTTCAGTAGAAGTATAGATACTGCAATTTAAAAACACTCTGGTAGAAGTTGAAGTATCAACTTGACCTCTTTACTCAAGTAAAAGTGAACAAGTTTGTGCTCCAAAAACTACTTGAAAGTATAAAAGTATAAAGTAACCTTTAAGAAAACAGCCAGATGCCACTATATGAATTAAAAGCTAATTTTTTCGACCATTTCGAAAAATTCTTTGAGATAGGGCCAAGGATAGGGATGGTCTTGTTGGTGTCCATCTCCCGATACGCTCTCGTTTGTGTCGAACCATTCAAACATTTCAACATCTTTTTCTGAATCCCACATTGTAGCATGACATAGAAAATTCACGTTTGCAGGTTGAAGAACAGCTGCTTGCTTCTGATGATTTCTTTTAGCTAACCAATGAGTGTTTGCGTTCTATGACTCATCCAATGACACTAGTTTTCACTAGATGTGGATGGAGACAATGATCTGCATTGGATGGCGCACATGATGGGAAATAAATATTTAGAAACATTAAACCAAAGCCAAAAGTAACGAGTAACGTTTGTTTTAAAATTCAGAAGAAGGAAGAAAAATGGAATAAAGTATAGATTCCTAAAAAGTGTACTTAAGTACAGTAACAAAGTATTTGTACTTCATTATTTGACACCTCTGCTGCTATTGAATGATCAAACCTGTGTGAAATGACATTAGATGGATGTTATATAAGTAAACTGATTTAGAACCATAGCAAAGACTCTCACTATCATTGTGCTTGTTTTTACCTCCTGGAAACAATTTGAAGCGTACTCATAATGCTGTTTTTTTCCCCCAGCTATTATGTAGATGTATGTCATTAAAAGGGAGACTTCACAGCAACTAGGAGCGCACTAAGAATGGGCGGAAAGCCGAATCCCGTCTCTGAAATCATATCGGTAGATTACAAAACATCTCCGCTCCTCCCTCTTCTCTCAGTCTCCCATCCTATGATCTTCCTTTCATGTGCAACCAATGTCCCCTCATCTGCTCTGTCCCCCAGGGCGGAGGGGTAGGGTGGGGTGGGGGAGGGGGGGACACTTTGCTCTGCGTACGCTGCAGCTTGAGTTGCCTGATTAATACTGGAGCCTTCTCACTCTGGACCCCATGAGGCCATTTCACTAAAACTGAGCACAATGTATCCAAATGTAAGAGGCAGAGGCGAGGAGGAGGAGGAGGAAGAGCGAGCAGGAAGCGCCTTCATGATTGAAAAATACAGCTTGAGCGAGTCTATCTCAGAGCCAAAAATGTACTTAGTGATCTGGCTTTGGGAGGTAGAAGCTCTAAATAATGAATCACCTCTTAGAGGCTTGAATAACATGAATAAAGTATAAACCGTCTCTTGCAAGGAGGGCAACTCCGAATGCAGCACACTGCAGGTATGGAGGAGCAAAACAACACCCGGAGAGGAGACGAAAAAAGATTTATGGAGCTGCACGCTGTGTGGAAGTTTGTGTGTGTGCGTTTGTGTGTGGGGTGGCGGACACAACTGGAAACATCTGGAATTCATATGTGCTAGAGACTGAGTATGGAGCTGGCAATAACGGGAAATGGACAGGGAAAAAAAGATGGAAGGAGCAAAGACAATGACTCATACATGAGCGGAGTCATGCGCTTAATTTCCTTAAGGAACGGGAGGACTGAGATGAAGGGGTGGGCTGCATAGAGGGAGTCTCGCTCTCGCTCTCCACGCCACACTGACTTGCACTGCATATGAGAAACAAAACAACTGTGCATGTCACGCGGTCATGCTCGATTATCTGGATTCTGCTCGCAGCAAAACGAAGCATGGCTGATTCCTGGGTGGGGGGGAGGTGAAGAATGTTTATTTTTTTTTTTGTTCAATTTAGCAAATCCAAATTTTTCATCAAGAAGTCTAAAAATAGAACATCTTTTCCCAGCCTTCCTGCTGTGAGCGGTCATTATCTATTCATATCGGCAGCAGAGATGACATCAAATGGGATGTTTGAGAGAACAAACAAAAAACCAAATCTTAGGTTTCATCCACTCAGAGCGAAGACTGTATCAGCAGAGAGAAAGTGTGAGCATATTGATCAAACCACACAAAGCCAGAGCTTCTGCTATAAGCTTGGTAATACGTATGCCACACCAGTGAGGGGCGCACTAATGCTGCCATACAAGTAAGGAAAGAAGGCAGAGCATAAACAGCAAACTCAGGAGGGAGAAAGAAATAAGAAATTTAAGTGAACAGATGGAAAAAAGCGGTGTAAAATCCACAATGCAGAGCTTTTGAAACAACAGGAGATCTGATGTCCGCCATCTTTGTTATTGTTGCATTTGTAATGAGGAGAGTCCTAAGTTAGATTGCATGCTCAAAGACGCCTGCTTGAAGTAGAAATGAACAGATACAGGTTTTGTTTTTTGCTTTTCTAAGACCGATACCGAGTATTTTTACATTAGGCTAACCAATCTCCGATAGATGCTGCTGATTTTTTTAGATCTTATTCTTTAGGCTGACGTCGCTTCTCTCATTTTTATACAAATAATTACTTGTGGTGTCCTATACCGATACCGGAAATGAGTCTGATTCAGTCTAAAAAAACAAATGTTTATTGTTTTTCAGCCTGCATCTAAAATATTTGATATGATCAAACTGAGAAAAGCACTGTGTTGTCATAAAGGGGGAGTGGCGGCCTAGTGGTTAGGGAATAGGGATTTGGAATCCTGAGGTTCTGAGTTCGAGCCCCAGTCCCACAGCCTCAACTCTGGGTCTCTGAGCAAAGACCCTTAACCCCATACTGCTCCCTGGGCGCCTCACAATGGCAGCCCACTGCTCCACAAGGGGATGGGTTAAATGCAGAGATAAATGGATCTAATGTGCGATCGATAAAGATCAATTATTATTATTATTAAAATTTTTTGTTGACCATCACTTGATCAAGTCTTTTCTAACATCCTCCAATGTCAAGCTTTTAGCCAATCCCAGCTGCAGTAGCATCTAGGACATTTCATATTATTGATTTGTTTCACTGAGTTATCTGATAAATCAAACTCTTACCACATCCACTCGGAGGGAACCAGCAAATATCCTTCCCATCCACAAAGGCAAAAACTGCGTCCTTTTGCTCATATTCCAGCTGAGACCAGTGCAGCCGTGTTTGTTTGCTTCAGAATTATGCCTCAGGTTGACGTCATACACATCACTGCATTTCATTGGCCAAAAACATTTCTTAATCATGGCCAAACGCATCCATTGGCTTCCAGCACAAGGATTTTTTTTGGAGTTTGTGAATTTACAAATTCACAATTCACCTTGCGAGCAACGTAACGTTAACATGACTGGACTTTTGAAACCCGCAATCTTAACTATCCTTCCAAGAGGATGTAGAGCCTTAGCATTTTTAAAAATTTACAATTTAAAATACGACAGTTCCAATTGTGACAAAGAATTAAAGACTATAACAATCAAATTGGATCTACATCACAAAGATTTCCCATTTTATTCTAAAAGTCTTGATCTCTACATTCACTGATCAGGAAAGACTAGATTTTGGAGTTTCTGACAGGCTGCTAACCAGTGAGTCTTAAGAATGAGCAGAAAACTGTCCTGTCTTGGTCACTAGCTTATTTTGTTTTGGTATATCTCCAGTTTTGGTTAAAGAAGGAATAACAGAGGATTATAGAGAGAAGCAATGGCTGAGCAACCAAAAGAAAGAAAAAGACCCGAGGATATCTGATTGTCAGGGGAGGCGGGGAAGAG